CGTCAACAAAAATAACCCATATGGCCCATATGTTGCATTGCTACAAGGATCCAAATGAGGTAAGAGGTCATCTCCACATTTCCCCAACCACCTGCTGGCTTTTGCCCTTTTGTGCAAGAAATGTCAAGAAACCAATGCTTCTTCCAAGAATTTTCACCAAATCAGCCCAAAAATTGCCAAACTCACCAGAAAGAAACACCACATCGTGTTCACATCATCCATGTCTGGCAAAAAATTCCCAAGAAGGACAGTCGGACAGTCCATCGTTCCCTTCCCATCCCTTTCGTTCCGTTCCCGTCCTCCGAGTCTCCGAGCCTTCTTCCAGACCTTGCCGGCACCAGCGTCACCTTGGACTAGCTCTAGCTGTCGGATGACCCTGATTGGGTTCATCACGCAAACAGTTTGGTCAGGGGTCAAAACAGGTCAATGGCCAAGCCCCCCCAGACCTAGTTGGTTCCCTCTTCTGTTTCCTTTAGCTATCTGAGCTGGTCCAGTGAGCCTGGCGTGGCCTTCTTTTTTGACTGAAGAGCCTCTTCAGGGCCGATTCGGGGCGATCCACACAGGATCTGGGCGTGGGCGATCACTGTCCAAGGCATCCTAGGCTCAAAGAGCAGTCTTGCTGGTCAGTTTCGCTTTTGAACTGTCTTATGAGGATGGGCATCTATGGGCTAACATCTACCAATGGGCATGTTTTTCGCCAGCACGCGTGTGAACAACAACAATACGATCCAATACGGTGATGTCCAAAAATGACGTTTCGCAGCACCTGATGTCCTTCCATCCCGTGTGCCAAGTGACAGTTGGGCGGAGTGTCTGGGGACTGGCAGCCCTTCCTTAGCTCAAAAAAGTCTGGTTGCCAGGAGGAATGATTTTGCCAGTGCAAAATCTGAAGGAAAACCACCAAAAGATGCAGAGCCTGAGGACGCCCCCAAAAAGACTCCATGGGTCGGCTACGAGGTCTCTTCCTTCCTTTCGTGAAATGCAACCCGACGGGTCTCTCTACTCACATGCTGTCAGGCCGCTGCTGGTTGTTGCAGCACCAGACCTTCTTGGAAGGAGACCAGGCACGGCACCAGTTGCCAAGTGCAGCGTTGCAATCGAAGGCCTCCTTGCCTGGGCCTTGCACTCCACAGCCTGCCGCCTTGCGCACGGGGTCAAATGCCATGACTGGGGGTTTACCCTCCCAAAGACGGGGCATTGTTGGATGATGTTGGATGGCTTGCATGATACACATGTCACATGTCAGTCTTTGCTCTCGGAATCTTTTTGAATGCTTGTTTCACAATCACACTGAACGAGCGACGACGGGAGAGTGGAAGCGGCACAACAGTGTTCAACAGAACTGTTAGAGGGGGAGACATGCCCAACATAGTAGCGAAAGCTTTGTAAAGCAACTCGGAACCTCTAGCTGCCGCTTCTCATCTGCCTCTTTAGACCTTTGGTAGGAAGACTTGGTTCCTTTTCACGAAAGAAACCCACCAGGAAGAAGACTGATAACGAACTCTCTCCAGCGATCTACCTCTTGGCTTCACACCCGTCTACTGTCCTCCACACGTCTCCGCTCCGCTCCGCTGGGTCTCGACGTCGAGGACGAGACGTCGCAACCGCGGCCTGAACGGTGCATGCGCGGCACACATCGCACTCCACCTGCACCTTGCTGTACGCGAGGTTGCCTCCAAACCGCAGCGCAGCAGGGAGGACGACCGGCATAACAGGGACCAACTGCCGCATGGTGGGGGGGAGGTGGAGGTTTTTGGACTGACATGGATCGTGGCGCAGCTAGGCGAAACTAGGCGATACTAGGCGCAACTCCTATCAACTCATGGAGTGACTCCAAATCGATCGAAAACCGCCTGAATGCCCTCAATAGAAGAGGTGCGGACATGGTTCCAGCTTCAGGACCTACATCTGTGTTACGACCATCTCTGCTCCGTCAGCTTTTTCTGGTGGATTTGAGCTCTGAGGAATCAGCTGGAATCGGATTGAATCGGTATTTTTGTGGTAACTGAGATTCACTGACCCAAACACTCCATATGTGGTATATTTACCTACATTGGGGTGGTTTTGGGGGTCAATGTAGGCATATATGGCAGTCCCATGTAGCGTCTGGGTTAGGAAACACTTATGACTTCAACCGATAGGAGCAAAGCATCGTGAACCCCTTCTGCCCAGTGGCAAGCATTGTCCTTGCCAGAGAAGACATTCTGCTTGGACCAATCGATGCGCTGCTGGCAGGTGCTAGTCTCACCGTGCAAGGTGCACTGCGTGGCGCAGCCCAAGGGAGACAAGGTGGTGTGAGGGCATCCCAACTGGAAACTTTTGCAGCAGAAGTCGCGCTGGTCGGCGGACCAGGCCTAGGTCTTCTGACACACAGCAAAAGTTCCACATATTAACTGCTGGTGGCACTGGTGGGGAGGTTTCCTGGGAAGATCCCGCACATTCTCTGCACAACAAAAGCATACAAAAGCTTAACCCAAATCCTACAAATACATTCTTGACGCTTTTCTCACACTTGAAGGTAGACTCTCCCTTTTGCAATCATTTGCAATGCCATCCCTCGGTTTGCTATGTACCACCTTCGGATAGGACAGTGGATGTGATGTTGATTGCTACAGCAACTGGGAATCAGCCACCCCAAATTCAGTGAACATCAGCCACTTGCGCGCCTGACCTGTGCGTCGGGTGTTTTGGGATTCGTTTTGCTCTGTCGCTTCTCTCGCTTCTCATAGAATCCGATCTCTTGAACTCTCACCCTTCGCGTATGAAAAGACATTGTTGACATGCCATCTTGCAACTGATGTGGACATCGAACTGATCGGGGGGAAGATCGAACACACATGCCTCTTGATCTCTTGAACCGTTCGCACGTTCGGCCGAACGTCTCTTCGGGTGTTCGCACATCCGAAGAGAAGCGGAAACACGTGTCTTGTCTTAGTCTTGTCACACTGTATCGTTCTCTGTATGTCTTTGGGAAAGAGGAGCAAAGGAGGAGCCCGTCGGGGAAACCGACTGTACATCCAAATGGCCGCCATGTTGGCGTCTCCATGGCAATGGAACTTCACGCAGTACTGAGAGTGACCATTGCTGCAGCACCAGTCCTTCTTCTTGGAGGACCATCCTTGGACACGACGTTTCAAGGCGACTCACGATGTTTCGAGATTGGTCAAGGTAGACTGCTCTAGACTGCAAAAGCCCGATGAACTCCTGTAAAGGGAAATGAGGTGTCCAAGCCAATTGAGCACATGTGAGGTAAAAACCGATTAAAACAAATTACTCCAACTGTGAGGGTCGTGCGCGATCGTGCAGGTAGGAGGACGATGTGGAAGGGATTTCCGACCGGGATCATCGTAAGAAGATCCGACTCTTTAAGGGCAAAAAAAATCATCCCCAAGCGGATTTGCTACTAGCAGGGACGCTACTAGGTGGAGGCCATCGCTAATAGGTTGAAGGCCATCGGCATTAGGTTGGAGGCCATCGCTATTTGGTTGGAGGCCATCGCTATTAGGTTGAAGGCCATCGGTATTAGGTTGGAGACCATCGCTATTAGGTTGGAGGCCATCGCTATTAGGTTGGAGGCCATCGCTATTAGGTTGGAGGCCATCGCTATTTGGTTGGAGGCCATCGCTATTAGGTTGAAGGCCATCGCTATTAGGTTGGAGGCCATCGCTATTAGGTTGGAGGCCATCGCTAGTAGGTTGAAGGCCATCGGTATTAGGTTGGAGGCCATCGCTATTAGGTTGGAGGCCATCGGTATTAGGTTGGAGGCCATCGGTATTGGGTTGGAGGCCATCGCTACTAGGTTGGAGGCCATCGCTATTAGGTTGGAGGCCATCGCTATTAGATTGGAGGCCATCGCTAGTAGGTTGAAGGCCATCGGTATTAGGTTGGAGAACATCGCTATTTGGTTGGAGACCATCGCTAGTAGGTTGGAGGCCATCGCTATTAGGTTGAAGGCCATCGCTATTAGGTTGGAGGCCATTGCTAATAGGTTGGAGGCCATCCGACTTATAGGTTGGAGGCCATCGCTATTCGGTTGAAGGCCATCGCTATTTGAATGGAGGCCATCGCTATTAGGTTGGAGGCCATCGCTAGTAGGTTGAAGGCCATCGGTATGAGGTTGGATGCCATCGCTATTTGGTTGGAGGCCATCCCTATTAGGTTGGAGGCCATCGCTATTAGGTTGGAGGCCATCGCTATTAGGTTGGAGGCCATCGCTATTGGGTTGGAGGCCATCGCTATTTGGTTTGGAGGCCATCGCTACTAGGTTGGAGGCCATCGCTATTAGGTTGGAGGCCATCGCTATTAGGTTGGAGGCCATCGCTATTAGGTTGGAGGCCATCGCTATTAGGTTGGAGGCCATCGCTACTAGGTTGGAGGCCATCGCTACTAGGTTAGAGGCCATCGCTATTAGGTTGGAGGCCATCGCTATTAGGTTGGAGGCCATCGGTATTAGGTTGGAGGCCATTGCTATTTGGTTGGAGGCCATCGCTAGTAGGTTGGAGGCCAGGTTGAAGGCCATCACTATTTGTTTGGAGGCAATCGTTATTAGGTTGGAGGCCAACGCTATTTGGTTGGAGGCCATCGCTATATTAGATTGGCGGCCATCGCTATTAGGTTGGAGGCCATCGCTATTGGGTTGGAGGCCATTGCTATTAGGTTGGAGGCCATTGCTAATTACTACTAGTAGCAAGTCAAGTCGGTGTTACCAAGTCGTTACGCCTTCACTGGGACTGGGCAGAACATACACGCCCTCACTGTCTGCGGTGCAGAATGCAACACTGGCACAACGATGCTAAACCAGATTTCGCTATATACCATGCCAAATTTACGTGTTCCAAGCAAAATGGGGATTTCAGAAAACCCATGTAATTCTGCAAAGCGAAACCAATCATTGGTGTATGGAAAAAGGTGCTTCAACAAAAGCATGACACCCCTTTTTCCCATAAGTATATCCTTCAAACCATGTTCAATTGGCCCCACCAAAACCAATCATTATTTTCCTGGCTCTCCTTGAATTGTCCTGCTTTTTCCTGGGGGTTCCCAATAAGAGCCTCACCCCCTTTAGCGTTCACCCCTTCTACTTTTTAGTGACAATGCCAAATTCATGTCGGTATTTCTGCTCAGCAAAGTTCTTGCGTTGGCCATCTGTTGATATCTGTATTTGGGCTAGCCATTGGTTGAACCCCCCCTGCATCCTACTGGGTCCAAGGCTCCCTGCATCCAGTTGGAGGCTCCGGCATTGCAGTCATAGCCTCCATGTCCAACGCCGTGCTCCACATGAACCTGTCCGTTGACAAGCGACGGGGGGCTCCGAATGGCCCTCTTCGAAGAATGGAGTGGCTGAACGGGGCTCTGAATGGCCTCATCGTTTGACCCCCGGGTGTCATGGTGCTCACAGATGGGTGTCGCCCGGCCTGCACATGGTAATGTCCATGCCAGGTTCCTGGGCAGCCCCTCTGCTGGTGGCTGCAGCACCAATCCTGAAGGTCGAGTCGATGTGTTTTTTCCACCGAGCAGGTGTTTTTTCCACCCACCAGGTAGAACCTCGGTCCAGGTCCCTATCCTTAAGCGCAAAAAACATGCAAAAACGGTGAACGATTGGGTCGTTGATTCGCGGGGAAAACGGGTAGAGGTAGAGGTGAACAGGGGTGACCCTGCCAGGGCAAATGAGTGTGGACAGCACAGCAGTAAGCGGAACCCTTTTGAATAATTCATGACTTTCAAGGGGTACTCTCTTTTCACAATACCGGTCTCTACGATAAGTATTAAAACTCATCCTTCGCAAGATCCACAGCTCCATTTAGAATGAATGTATTCCTATATTCAGTTCTAGGAAAGCACACTGGCCGTGACTTTTCTTGGCTTCTCATGTCGCGCTATGAACTCACGGTCCTTCTTGTTGCTGGACCAGCCATGGTACCAGTTGGAGAAACCGGCTTGGCAGTCATAGCTGTGGTACACATGGACCACCTGCATCGTCGTGAGCCGTGCGTCTGCACGAAGGCTTCGTCGTGCGAACCCTGGTGGGAGAACTCAAGCTCCCGCATGAACCAACCCAAAGTTGAAGGGAATCTGACCCTCTCTTTCTATCTCTATCTTTCTCTTTCTTCCTTTCTTTCTGTCTGTTTTCTATTTCTGCTTATGTTTTTTCTTTCAGTCTTTATCTTTTTTCTTTCTTTCTTGTTCGTTCTTTCTGTCAGTCTTTATGTTTTTCTTTCTTTATTTATTTTTTCCTTTCTTTCTTTCCTTCCTTCCTTCCTTTCTTCCTTTCTTCATTTCTTTCTTTCTCTCTCTCTCTCTCTCTTTGTGACCGCTACCTCATCGTACCATTGCACGTCATCTCATCCTAACAAAACACTACACACCACGCTCCTTTCTTAACTGTAGGGATGCTTAAGCCCACGTTTGCCCAATTGAAAATGATACCAATGATACCACAAAAACTACACTTGGCCCCAATTGACAATACAACAAACTGGGGTTCACTGGGTCTCACGCGTTTTTCGCTTCCTCCACTTCTCAGGGCTCGTGTTTCTCCAACCACGATCCGCCTTCTCCCAGTGTCCGCAGCCGGAGTTGAAGTGGGAGCAGCACCAGGTCTGCTTGGAATGAGACCAAAGCTGCTGGAAGTTCTCAAGGCCGTTCTGGCAATCATATTGCTGGTCCACCACCTCAGTCACTTAGCTGAGGTGATGCCAGTTTGGCCTCGAAACCTCGTAGGAAACACGGCAAACCATGTGGAACATCTTACATGCTACAGCAATCCACCTGGGTGGAGGCATAGGTATGGACGATTGTGTGGGGAAGAGGACAACCAATAGATCAAAACTGGGAAAATGACACCACAACATACTTGAAATCAGATGTGCCACAGTGTTCCACTGGGTGTGGTAGTGTGTGACCACATGAGGCGGCGATGGCACCGGCACCTTCACGTAGTGGTCAGGGCCCTGCACGTGCACGGGATAGGGGCGCTTCACGTTGATGACTTGAGGCGGCTCCGGCACGGGAACAGGGACGTTCTCGTTCATCACCACGGGTTTCACCACGGTAGGGCCTGTCGGTGAGCATGGAGAAACACATTCTCTTCACTTCATCTGTCGGTGGATCATGGAGCCGACTTGGAACTACACCGATTGCTGCAAGACCGTACCTATCTGAAATGAATATCATGGTAACGCGTTCCTACATGATCAGAGACCGTACCTATCTGCAATGAGTTTTCCATGTAGAGCCCCGTGGTCCGTCCCCCAGACAAGCTAGGGAACTTGTAATCTCAATATCTAGAATGCTTTATCTGAGTAGATGGCACAAACCGAGCACGATCGACGATTCAACTCTGGCATCAGATGGTGTTCTTTTTGTGTGCTGTACTCAACGATGTCCTTTTGGGAGCAACAAAGGGGTCAGGGGTCAGGTTGGTACCTTACCATATCCCGATTGGTTGTACACTTGGGGTATCCCAGCTATAAATCAACTAACCGAGGCCATTAAAGGCAATTGATGTGCTGTATGTATAGTGGTCTCCAAATAGATAGGGACCGGTTTGATATACAGTATACATTCTTCGTGGGGATCTACTTCTCTATCTATTTGGGGGTCTAAAAATCCCAAGATCTCCAAATTCGAGTTCAAGTTCCTCTTCGTTTGGCCTGGCACTTGAACGTGCACGTACTGAGGTGGGCTGGGCACGTGGTAGGTGTGGTGGATGGTGTGAATGATGGGCGCGTGTGCCGGCATTGGCTCAGGTACTGGCACACGGACCGGCTGGATGTTGGTCACGGTGTGGTAGTAGTCCTGCATCATGCTTTTAGGACACCCGTCGCGCATGCTTCCATCGCCACGTCGTCTCTAAATGAAAAGACATTGAGTTGAGCAAGCGGCGCAGCACTTGTGAACTGCTGGTGCTTCAGTGCTGCAAGGTGTACAGAAAGATTACCTGGTCCCACTGTATCACGGCATCACCATGCACCACCAACCCTAGAACCGTCTATATCAAAGAATCTATAACCTAGAAGAGTTTTAGGCTATCGACCTAAACTGCTCCAAACTGCGAGTCCTTGTCGACCACGGTCACAGGGCAGTACATCTTGTACCTTGGCTGCTGCATACTTTTCGGAAAAACACATACACATCTTCTCCAAATCAATTCATCCTGCACTGTACGTCCTGGACTAGACGATGTTCACACCAGCTCAAACTTCCTTCCGCCATCTGCTCATCCCGCAAACTTGAACTACAGCATGCAGCAGCTGAAACACAGATTGTCATGTGAACCACACCCCACAAGTTTCAACGACGCCAAACACAAAACATAGAGAACATGATCTTTTGACTCTTGACCAAGTTTGACTCTGAATCTGCTTCTCCAGGGTACTTGTAGCAGCACCAACGGGTGTGCTGGCTGGACCAGCTTGGATCTGGGTGGGATCCCATCCCGTCGCAGCTGTAGTGCCTTGCTGGAGTCTGAACCTGCACGGTGTGGACGATGGGTGCCTTCTCGGGCATCTGCACGTGGACATAGTGGTTTACCTCAAGCAGAAGAAGGTGACTTTTCGCAACTCAACAGCATATGCAAATATGTTGTGTATCCTATTCTATTCTCTGTAATATGATGGTTAGTAAAGGCCTTCCTCTAGACAATTGTTTACCACCTGCTGCAGGTAATAGGGCGCCCCCAACAAATGTGTGTATGTCAGTCATGTCAGTCCTTCTGTCTGTCTGTCTGGCTGTTCTGTTCTGTTCTGTTCTGGTCTGTTCTGGTCCTGGTCCTGGTCCTGGTCCTGGTCCGGTCCTGGTCCTGTCTGTCTGTCTCTCTCTCTCTCTATCTATCTGTCTGTCTATCTATCTATATATAGTTTGAATATATAGAATATTCACAAGTTCAAGTTATATATATATTATAGATAGATTGGGTATATCCCATCACCAGTCATCGTAAAGGCTTTTCTCTAAAATAGTGATAACCGTTTACCGATTGTTACAGGTGGCAGGACTGACCCAATATATAGCAGAAATGGCTACCACCAGCGTGCGCAAAACAGTGTCTTTGTGAGCATCTGTCAGCTGTGAGCATCTGAGAGCACCTGCCTACAATCAATACAATTCGCAAAACAAAAAGCAAAAAAATCAGACCTATGTCTCCTGTCCAGCCTCTACTGGGTATCTCTCCATGGGTCTGAACTTTTTGATTTTATTGGTTTTGGCTGGTCTGCCCAAAAGTGACCAAGCACACAAAAAAACAGTTCAGACCTATGTCTCCTGTCCAGCCTCTCCTGGGTATCTCTCCATGGGTCCGGGCTTCTTGGCGTCCTCCTTCGATCCTTGCACCACAGCGTGGCTGATCAAATTTTCAAGAGACTGTTTGACCATGTCTGCTGCATCATGGACATCTCGACCCCGCAGCCGATGACGGACCCAGTCTCGGGCCTCCCCGCTTTGCATCTTGGGTGGGTCAGGATTGCCTTCTGACAGAACTGCATGCTGGACAATTGACTTTCTCGGCTTGAGCGGAGCGTCTGGGTTGCCTCTTGTGGCAGCTGGTGGATCAATCCACGCGCTAGCTGCAGCTGACGCCGCCATGCGTGCAAAGGCAAAGGCTAGCTCGAACACGCTGATGGTTTTCCGCTCGTGAGGCGGCAGCGCTGCTGCAATGGAGGTGTTTGCCTCCAGGTACTGCATCATCCTCATTGCACTGCTAGCGAACCGGAGCACCTCCGTATCCCAAAACTTGATCTTGTCTGTGAGGCGCCTTACGGTGGGCAACTCAGGGCATCATCAGGATTGGACGGTGCTCCAAACCTTTGTTAAAGGTGTCCCCTCCAAACCCCCCAGGTGGCACATTCAAAAGTGCCGAAAGACACAAAACCGGCACTTTTGACGTCTTGGAAGCAGACTGGCATGATGCGAGTGAATCCGGTCGTTGCAAATGGCGCTACTGGTGTTACGTTGCATTGATGGTTTGGTGCCCACTGAAGTTGGGGATATGAACATCCAAAGGATGAATATCAAAGCACCACCATACCTGGTTGCAATGGAAACATAGCAAAAGAACGTGTGCTGGACCAACGCAAGCAAGCGTCGGGTGACATTTATCTTCGTTTTCCTTGGTCCGGTCACTCACCGCCTGTTGAACTTTCCGGTACACGCTCTCAGCGATCTCGTCTAGGTAGTGCCTGTGAGGAGTTTCTTCCACTTCTTCGTCCCGGTCCAGTTGAAACTTTGTTTGGCTTCGGCGGCGGGTTCTCTGTGACTTCTTTTCCCATCCAATCGAACATGTCTACAAGAAACTGCTTGCTGGTGGCAGCTTGTTGCTGGTGGTCCAGAGGCGCCTCAAAGAAATAACCTTGCGCAAAGCGCTTTCTGAATCCTGTGGAAGCCGAAAGACCTTGGGGAGTTAAGATCTTCTCCACCACCTCAAACTGGCCGAAGACTTGGTGAACAAAGCTGTAGTCTCTGCAGGCGTCAACGTCCCTTGAGGTCTTGGTGCCCTCCCTTTCCCCGTTGACCCAGCTGTTAATCTTCTCCTTGGAGATGAAATGAATTCCCCGGTTGGTATTCTCTCCAGAAGTTTTGACACAATAGACAGCAGCTGGCTCGTCGGTGATGGTTCCACTCCTCCGTGTGTTGAGGATGGACACCTTGCAAACACAGGGTGTTTCCTGTCGACCCGACTGCATGTGTCACAACGGCACAACAGGGACTAAACGCTACTTAGTCACTCGATGACCCTTGATCGTACCATCTCCGCTTGCGGACACGCCCTTTTTCAAGAGAAGTGAAACATCAGGACCCTGGAGCAACGTTAACGACACAAAGTCCTTCAAGGTGTGGCTAAGTGTACACAACAAAGATCAAGAAAGGGACCCGTTGGAGTTTACTAGTGTTCGTTTGCAATGCTTGTCCTTCAAGGAGGTTTTGCGCACGCTGGCTTTGAGGCTGATGAAGAATGGAATGTTGGGGCTTCGCGCTTGCTCGTCCCCGTCCACTTTCCAAATGCGAGTGTCTGGCATCTCCATCCAGCCGACGTTACTTTGGATGCTGAGCAGCAGCCCTTCAGCGGGCCAAGCCTGGCGTAAGGCAGGGATCTGGAATTGCTTTGGAAGCATCAGCCACTCTGGCATTGTCAAAATGAAAGTTAAAGACTTCGTCCCTATACCCTGCACCTGCGGACAGTGGAGGCTCTGGCTGTGTGGGCAGCATAAAGACTTCTGCTGCCTCTGGTTGCGTGGCCGAGGCAAGACTTCTGGCGCCTCTGGTTGCGTGGCTGGGGCAAGGACTTCTGATGCTGCAGCCCCTGTACTTCGGCTGGGCGCTGGCTCTGATTGGTTTTCTACGTAAGTCCTGCGTGGCGCAGGCACCTCCTTTGGCGGTTTGTGGGGTTGGGAGGCAGGGAGTTGGAAGTATCCGATGCGAGCCCGCTTGTTACTCTTTTGCTTTTCTGACTGTTTGGCTCCCATTGCATGCGCCGTGTCGGGCAATTGAAATTAGATATGAGTATATTTCTAAGTCAATACTGTTCTACTAACCAAGCCCTAGGTTAAACGACTCTAATTCAATTCTACCTTGGGTCTAAGTCAATTTCAATTTAAGTAATGACTATTGATTTAATGTTGTTCATTCAATTCCAACTTAATTCCAATTTATTTCTAGTTTAGCTCTATTTCATTCTATCCTGGATTAAATTCTAATTTTGTCTATTCCAAGTTATTTGTAAATGATTTTTGATGTTAGTGCCCTTGTACAATTCAGATTCAATCGTTTTACACATCTAATTTTACACTATTGTCATTGCAAGTTAGTTTTGATTTCTATATGTCTAATTTAGGTCTAATTTGATTCCAAGTTAATGAAAATGGAATTCTCATTGAGTTTTGATTTCATTCTAGAGAGTGGGTGTTGCTGGGGGTGTAAATTTATTTCATGTAAGAAAGCACATGCTTCCATGTTGGACAAACGTCATAAAAACCGCTCATGCTCAAAACAACGCCAATTCACTAGAAATACATGTGTGCATGAGAACTTCATAAAACCAACAATTAAATTGAACAAGCATAAATGTAAGAATTGAATCTGAATTGTGTAGCAATGACATGAAAGGTAGCTTGAAATCAAATTAAACTTTGGCTTGCATTGAATCCCAAATAAATTAGAACCTATAGTGAAGGAAATTTGAATCAAAGTAGAATTAAAACGTAATTGAAATAGATTTAAATATGAATTTAAAAATAAACGTGAATTGAGCAAGAATCAAATTAGAATTTGGCTATTTAGGGTTTGTATTTATTTGCCTTCTGATTATGATGTACTTACCCAATTGCATTCAATCAAAGCAATGCAATTCACACTCTAAAAGCAAGAAATATGGTTTGCGTGGGGGCTGCGTGGAATTACATTACTACATCCACATATCTTTATAGTAAACTCCCAACCTGGTGGATTTAGAAAAGTTTGTCGTAGATAGTTGAATGAACAAATGTGCTTACCAACTGCACGTAGAGCAAAAATCACAAATTTCACAATCCTATCAATGTGATAGCATCCCCAAAAGGAGCAACACCTTACAAATGAACAACTCTCACAACCCTATCAATGTCATATTATATATCTGCAAAAAGAGAAAACTTACAACATCACAACTTGCACAACCCCACCCCCCTATGACTACCTGCTCTCTGAATTTTATTGCATCTTTATATTGTTCCTCCTATGCTATATTTTTTGTTGTATTGAAAAACATGAATCCCCTGAAAAAGCGCACGCTCACAGTGGCCAGCTCTCATATATAGACACATCTGATATTGATATCAAATCTTGGTCACATCAGAAATGGCAGGAGGGTCGGCATTGGACGTGGTCAGATTCAAGGCTTTGAACATTTTTTAAAGTGCATGTTTCACCTTTTGTTTGAAAATACAAGATCCACGAATCCTCAAACAGGACGACCACAGGACGACCTGCATTGAACAAATGAGGACAACTAGAAGGCACACAGGAAAACACACGAGGAAAAGAAGGCAGAAGAAAGAATCAAAGGGGAACAAAAATGAAAGCACCTGTAATGGTATATAGCCATTGAATATATTTTATGAAGGTTGAAAGCATCTGTAATGGTGGTTCTAAAAATCCTACTTGCTCATTTGCTCGTCGCTGAAGCCTGGCCAGTCAAACAAGATCTGTCTCTTTCCTTTACTTTCGCATTCTACTTTTGCCATCCTTTGCATCCGTTCAAACTGACCTCCGATGACAGGCCCAGTCGCAGGAACTTTGTGATAGACGGTGTTGTAGTGGCGACGCACCACAGTGTGCACATGCGGGGGAGCAGGTCGAGTGTTGTCCGCGCCGCACTGGAGGTTCGTGAGGGCCAGCTGGCTGGGGCAAGAAGTACAGCAGAATCCCTGGTTCTCCACCAGCTGTGCCTCACAGGTTGATTTCCCTTCTTGCACCCTTCCAGAATCGTTCCAAGTCTGTTTAAAGTTATTTCAACGCAATCAGTGAAGAGATTAGTATCGGGACAAAAGCTTTGGACTTCAACATCAAGAGTCTGGACAAACAGTTATAGTATATCAATTAAATATATCAAAGCTTATCAAAGTATCAAGCTTTGGACTTGCGCAAAGCGGACTCGACATCGCACAAAAGAACCGGCCAAGCAACTGTCAGCAAGGAAGCGCACTTGTCGCTGCAAACCTGATTTTCTTACAACCGACATCTACAATGAGCAAAGTGGCTGGAAACGGCTGGTGACGTGGGTGGTGAAAACCACTTCCCTTGACTTCCCTACTGCCCTTTGGAGGGACTCGACCTCGGGCACCTCCGGATGATGGACTCCTTTTCGCGCGCGTGTAAAAAACGCATGCGCTCCCGGTTGTGCATGCCTTCTTCCTCTCCTCAGGTGGAAGATGTGTCCCAAGTTCTACATACCCCAAGGAATGCCGGGCCTTCCTTCCACCAATGGAAAGGGTGGTCTCCTGGGGTCCGGAGGCCCTGCGCCATGCGCCAACACGCAGGGTCCAAGGATTGGCTGCGGCTCGACGTTTTCAACCCGTTCGGCTCACGTTCCTCACGTCACATCGGTCAGCTCCAAGTCACATCGGTATATCCCGTGCTGCATTGCTCGCTCGAGCCGAAGAAGACGCGCACGTCGCAGATGAAGAGCAATGGCACCAGGATCAGCAGCAAAGCAGTGATCCCCATGCAAAGCCTCGTTGACTCTGAGGTGGTCGAGTCGACCGGAGGCAAAGCATTGCTCACATGCATGCGCATGCATGGCACGGAGGTGCAAACATATGGAAACCATTTTGGGACAGTAGACACGAACAACAAATAACCAATGACCCGGGCCGTTCGTTTCACCTTCCGATGTGATCGTGTCTTTCACCATCCGCACGAACGCGTCTAACACGCGCAAGTGCAACGCACGTGACACGGCCGAACGGGTCGTGTCTCGCACGAACGCGTCGTGTCTCGCTCCGTCTCTCGAGCTTCGAGGCGCAGGTCCGCCGGCCTCACTCCTCCCGTGTAGACCTCGTGGTACCGATGCGTCGAGCTGTCGCGGCCCATCGAAGGTTGAGACCACCCAGTACTAATGCACAACCAGGACCCACTTGTAGTTATCAAGCTATAATCCGATAAGAACATGTTCAGGAAAAAAGACAACTTGTGGCAATCGAAAAAGGCTGTTGCCCATTTCTAAATGCAGCGAGAGGTGATCCCTTAGCTATATATATATAGCCTTATATAACGATGAGAGAGAGAGGCAAAATGACCCACCAAACACAAACGTTGTCGTCTTGTTAGCCACCTGACAATTCGACACCTCCCAAAGACTTTTCTTGAATGTTCTTGATAGAACACCAAATGAACCACAACTTCAACTTAAATGCGCCGAGAGATTTGACGGGATATTTGATGCTTTTGTCTTCAATCCCACCTTGCTGCTTGAGCCTTCATTTACCGTCACGTAGCTCACCATGGTGTCAGTGTTAGCAGAACTTGCAGATTGGCCCCAAGGCAAGTCGAGCCAAATGCTGCAAGTCCATGCGGCCGCATGCTGTTTCGACTTGGTCGTTTGGTTTCTCAAGTTCAAATAACAAAGGGCTCCCAGGATCCACACGTTGTTCTGTCATAATCCTTTCTTTACAGAAGCAAGGCACCCAAGTGCTGTGACCAAGGCACCCTATCGTCCTTTTCGCCGGATGTGCACTCGATGCTCGGATGTTCTCCCGCACGCGGTGATACCCGGTGTTCCCAAGGAGCAAACATCTCCATCTCTGCGTCGCGTAATCTGTGATGATTGATGCTTGATGGCCGAAGTTAATGCTTCAACACCAGTATCATAATTTAATTGCCTTGTCAGAGTCATGAAAAAAGGCATCCGCAACTTGGGCGGCATGTTTTTCTTTCTCTTGTCGCATGCTGGTCTTGTTGCCGCACAGGGTCAAGATCTTCGAACTTGACAAAAAAAGGATCAGATCTACAAGCCGACGGCCGGAGGGGGACGTCGAGCGAAAATGTTGGATGTTACCCGGAGAAACTGACCTCGACTTAGTAAGATTGCAAATCCTTGCCAAGTAATAAAGGGCATCTGAATTTGAATCTAACTGGTTCTGAGTGTGGGGGAAGGGAAAAACCATGCTGGACGACCAAGAGACGTTCGTCTTCAAGTGAGGAAGGCATTAATCTCGAGTGGATCAGAGATCAGCATGGGTACTCAGTTCTGCTCGCTTGGTCAGCGAAAACCCAAGTGCTCAATGCTTTGGGTTCTCTTGAAGCTGCCAAGGAGGCTTAAGCAATCCTAAGCATGCCCAGGTTTGGGCTGAAAGTTTTCTCAGTGGACCACATGGTGGACCACGTGGTGGTGGTGGTAGCTGGCACCTGACGACCAGCTGTGGCTACCACCGGAGGACCAGCTGTGGCCGGACATGGCCCCAGCAGCTCCGGCAGCCGCCCCAGCAGCACCAGCTCCGGCGACGAAGTGATGAGTGACGACCACGTGGGTGTGTCCATGTGCACCAGGGCCATGGTAGACATAGCCCGGGCAGCCCAACTGCTCATGAGAGCAGCACCAGGACTTCTTGGCGCCTGACAGGCCAAAAACAGAAGAGTTACAGGAGTCAGAGTTTCCATTAAAAACCTATTCCTCCACAACTGGATCCCCCTCCCAATTTGCCTGCTACCCTGGGCTGCTTGATTTTTAGGAACCCAGGGTTCAGGGTACACAAAGGTAGCTAAAAATGCAAAAATGCAGAAAAGCACGCTCCCAAAGAACCAATCAAACACATGCCGAGCTAAAGAATAGGAACCTGCCTTCAAAAGCCCTAAAACACTAAAGACCCACATCAACAAAACTCATGAATCAGGGTCTGCCTTGCCACTTTCAAAGAACGGGAGCCCCTGGGTCGGGGTTGTGCCATTGCACCCTGTTCTTTTCTACGGGCTTTGTTCTTCTCTGGAACCTTCCCCCAGAACCTTCCTCCGAACCCTTTGTCTGGAACCTGCTTTGGAACCTCGTCCGGAACCTGGTCTTCCAGAACCTGCTCCAGAACCTCCTCCAAAGCCAGCTCCACAACCTCTTCCGGAACCTGCTCCGCAACCTCTTCCGGAACCTGCCAGAACCTGCTCTGCTCCGGAAACTTCTCCGGAGCTTGCTCCGATCTGCTCAGAAGTCTAAACATTCTAAACTATACGGCTGAAGACCCCTAAAGCTTCGCTGTTGGGGAAAAACATATTATACTATGCTATAGGAAGATTTGAATATCTATTATGTCAAATGTATATGTTTTTGTTTATTATAGTCATACAGTATTTTGACATGGTTTATTTACATTTATTGTTCCGAACGTCCATCAAACACTATATATATATATATTGACATGGTTTATTTACATGTATTGTTTCAAACGTCCATCAAACACTATATATATATATTCTCTGTTTTTGACATGATTACTTTACATTTATTGTTTCAAGCGTCCATCAAACAATACATACATATATATATATATATCATTTTCTTAGAGTATAGCAATTTACATCATATCACATTGATTAGTTCAACATGCTTAAGGCGGCAATCTGATAGACTATCCTGTGTATTGCAAAGGAATCTGTCCTCCTTAAGGAAGTGCTCTTCACTTGGAGCAATCGGTAGAAGCGATCCATTCTTTGTCTGAATCATACAGGATAGTGTCTATCCTGCCAGTCGCCTCACCACATCTTACATCACCGTCCAGTGACCCTCAACATCCCTCAACACCATCTCCAGCACCAAACCTTCCCATTCCGCTTAAGGGAGGGCGAGGCATCGCCCAAAGGATTTGAACATGGACGATCAGTGTCACAAATCAGTCCCTGGATGGCCCACGAGTTGTGGCATTTCTACATATCACCACATTTACATCGCAAGTACAACAAAACCGCTGTTCTCTCCGACTCATCTTCCCATCATCAGCCCACGAAACCGTCTCTGCCCGCGAGACCGGCGTAAAAAACCGCTCCACCTGACCAACCATGCTCCCAGCCAGCGAGACCGGCATGGCAGGCATAAGGCTTGGCCACTGAGGTAGCAGCACCTGCCATCTGAGACTCCCAAGACCAGTGGCCGCTGATCATCACCTGGCAGCGTTGCACCAGTGCACCCTGATCCAGGGGGGCAGTGTTTTTGGTTTTGGTTTTGAAGGCATAACAACATAGCAACTCAACAGGTTTCATGGACCAAGGGTCTTTCTTTTGGGGGGGGTTCGGTAGGGAGAAACAACCATGAAACCCTCTTGGTCCTTTAATCTCATGGGGCTCCAACATGCTCCGACCACATTGAGGGGCGTCACATGTGTTTGTCAACCTAGCTAGGTCGGCACCGTGAAGGCTCGTGTCGCGTCGCGTCGCGACCTTCGTGAATGGGATGGTTCGTCTGTGCCGAGAAGACCTTCCAAGAACCCAATTGCGGATGGCGCAAACCAACGACGCCCGGATGGGGCCTTCTTCCACACCTTGCCGGCGCCTGCATCACCTGGGCCGTTGACTCATACGCGACGAGTACGGGCGTCGCGGTGTTCTGCGCTCGTTTCGGTCGAGGACGGGGTGGGTCAGTCCGGAGCCCCGAGTTTCTTGGAAAGCGAACCGATGGTAACGAAAGGCATTGATTTCGTAAGGATTCTTGGGATTTCCATGCTAGATGTCGGATACCGTATTTCTATGCTGAGGATGGAACCATGTCGAAAAGAACATGTCTAAAAGCGAGTCGACGTTCTTCACACTTCGCACCATGCAAAAACGACCACTGGGAGTGGTAAACCACTCCTTCATCGCACGCACGTCCTGCGCATCCTGCGATGGCCAGGGGGCAGTTGGGCGGAGTGTCTGGGGACTGGCAGCCCTTCCTTGGTCGAAAGCCAGGTGTGGTGCTCAGTGCAGTCCCCAAAATAGACAGAAAGGGTTTGTTTTCAAGCCTGTTTCGGTGGAGACTCATTGATTCAGATGCATATTTGTTCAGACTCGATATCTGTACTCAGACTGTACTCGATTTTGGGCCACGAGATGTGTACAGCTCCCAAAGGGGGGGCATTGAAAAACATCCAGTGGAAAGCCGTTGGTGGCCATGAACACAGACTTTCAAGGCCTGCAGAGCGAGCACTCGTTTTCAAACTCTCCGACGCTTTCCCTGTTTGTGTAGGAGTGTACCAGAAAGCCTCAAGTGGTGGACGCTGCTGTATTCAGTGATGAATTCCTCTTAAACAACAATACTGCTCTGCCACCAATTTGCTGGCCACTCCGTCGGAAAAAGCTTAGGTTTAGGGCACCCCAAACATGTATATATTTACTCCAAAAGCTTCTTGCAGTAGGGAACCTAAGCTTCTCAGATGCAGTAGCAGCACCCACACATACCCTGCGCTGTCAGGCGACTGCTGGTTGTTGCAGCACCACACCTTCTTGGAAGGAGACCAAGCACGGCACCAGTTGCCAAGTGCGGCGTTGCAATCGAAGGCCTCCTTGCCTGGGCCTTGCACTCCACAGCCCGCCGCCTTGTAGGTCGATCGTGCGGCCGGATCGCACCGAAAGGAGTGGGCAGTCGGCCGAGGGGCCCCTGCCGGGTTCAGGTTCGGTCTGTAAGGATTGGACGGACACTCCAAACAAAACGAATCACCGGACCTGCAGGTCCAGCATTTCCTTAAGGTTCTATGCGTCGAAAGTAAGGTTGGTTGGTTGCAAGACGTAACGAATATAGTTTGTTTTCGATAGTTTGTCCCTGTTGGTCTTCATTCTTGGATGATCTTGGATGTAACTGGTGCACTCATTGTCATGTTCATTTTCCTGGGTTCATTCATGTTCATTGCATTGGTTTGGCCGTGGAAACGGACATCCCGTTCCTGAGCGCAAAAGGACACGCATGGCTGTGGCCTGAACGGTGCATGCGCGGCACACGTCGCACTCCACCTGCACCTTGCTGTATGCCAAATTGCCTCAAAACCGACGGGACAGGCAGGCAGGAATTTCCAGCTGGGACAGGGAGGAGTGGATGACGAGTGAATGAGGGGGCATGGATGATGTCCAGTCGACACAACTTGGCGCAATGATGCGCAATGGGTCATTGCAGTGGACTGCAGGTGGTGGACTGCAGTGTACTGCTGCTGAACATCTCCCCTGGGTGAACAAGAAAGCCGCTGACACACCCATGCCGACCGAGGTGTCGACCGACCGACAGCGGTCAAAGGATTCCCGTCAACCAAAAGATTCCACAAAATAGGCCAAAACCATTGGCATTGCTATATGAGAGGAATCTCATGTGGCATCGGAAGCAAAGAATTGATGGCAAAGGGTTGCAGTTCATGATCCTCAATGAGCACCAAGTACATGCTTGTCTTGTTAAGCTGTGTCAGGCTCAAAGCGCTATATATGTAATTACATGTGTATATATATATATTATATATATATATATTGGGGTCTATCCCATCACCAGCAACAGTGGATGAGGATGAGGATGAGGATGATGATGATGATGATGATGATGACGATGATGATGTTTAGTAAAGGGCTTGTTCAAAAATAGTGACCATTGTTTGCCGACTACTAGCAATAGGACGAACCCTATATATATACACACATCATCTCAAAATATATCAACAGGAAGGTAACATGATCTCCGAGTCTTTGAGCAACACCTTGATACCTCCAATTCCCAACAAGCAAATGCTGATCATTCAGCCGCTCAACTGAGTGTCTTTAGCAAAGATTGATACCGCAAAACCAAAGAACACATTCAAAAGAACGTAGGTGATCAGGGTCACTTTCAGGAGACCAGTAATTATCAGCTGGAGATCCCCAATCGCATGTCTTTCTGCCCAGTGACAAGCATTGCCCTTGCCAGAGAAGACATTTTGCTTGGACCAATCGATGCGCTGCTGGCAGGTGCTGGTCTCACCGTGCAAAGTGCACTGCGCGTCGCAGCCCAAGGGCGACAAGGTGGTGTGAGGGCATCCCAACTGGAAGTTCTTGCAGCAGAAGTCGCGCTGATCGCCAGACCAGGCCTAAGTCTTGTTATATGTGAAGGGGTGTGCAGGGTACACACCAAGGTAACGAGGAGGAAGCGTCTTCCATAGAACCTGCATAGTCAACTGCCCGAGGTTGTCCCTTCTTGGTACTTTGAGATTGGTCGTCCCCTAGGACACGGTCCAATTATATTATACAATCAATTGTAATCATACCTACCTTCAATGAAAGCCATGTGTTGGCCTCTTGGCACAGGCCGCTGCTGTCGCCTCAATCTAGCGGGCCATGTTTCTGTCATGTTTCAGTCTTGCATATGTCAGAAGTATGGGGATGCTTGGGATGCTTCGCCAGTCCGAAAGGCTGCTACATTTGCATGATCGCCATGGCAATGGAACTTCACACAGTACTGGGAGTGGCCATTGCTGCAGCACCAGTCCTTCTTCTTGGAGGACCATCCTGGGTGTGGTGCACAGTCTGGACACTCCAGGCATTGAGCTAGGATTTTACTGCAGAAGTACAAAGGGTGCTCCCAAAAAGGCCGATGAGGAGCCACCAAAAACATAGCGAGCCCTTTAAAGGCAATTATGTTATGCGAATTGGACATAATTTACAAACAGATTTTCAAAGGCTTAAACATGGCCACGATCAAACAGTCCCGTTGGGCAATCAAATGGATTCTTACTGTGGGAACCTCTGTCAGCCGGCCTGCTCAACTTTTGATTGTTTGGAACGAAGGGACGCACAGCAACGGCTAGCTCTTGAGATGTGCCGAGTGGCTTAAGATGGCCTAAGGCCACAAGTAGTACACTCCCTATACAAAAACCTTGGATAAGTGGATCACATAATGACCATGAAGTCCTGCAAAGAGGTGGCCTTCCACTTCCATGATTGTGTCAAGGAGTGCATAGTGGATTGAGAGTATTATAGATTATATATATAATATATATATATATATTGCACAAGTTACCCCAAGGTTGGTGGTCCGACCCCCATCTGTCTAAGCCATCGAGGCGGGGCCATTTCTCACCTCTGAAGCCTGTAAACGCTACAATTCTCCAGTCCAAGGCGCCCTGCATCCAGTTGGAGGCGCCCGCATTGCAGTCATAGCCTCCGTGGCCAACTCCATGCTCGACATGAACCTGTTGACAAGCAAAGGCATAGCCGCATGTGCTGCCGGCCGGTGCTTGTTGTTCTTTTTTTTCTGATGTAGTGTGCAGGAATTTGCAAGTGTGAGGGAGTTGGGACCATCACGAAGTGAGCGAGATTTGGTCCACCAAATCTCTAACAACTGCTTCATGGTCGGGTTGCCAAGGGTTGAAAAAGCCACAACCTAATTTTCCAAATCAACAAACCGGAAAGCAAACAAACACATCGTTGACAGTTCTGGGAAGCTTATTTGGATCCTTCACACCACTATTTTGAGGCCGATACCATCGAGACCCAACTCAAGTGGTTTTCTGCTGCAGCCAACGACTGAACCCATCTTTTTTCAGCTACCACCAGCTTTTCCCAACTGAGCCCTCCTTCCTCACGACACGACTCCTCGTTTGCGAGCACACGGAGCCAACGGCTGAGCAAACCCCAGCCGAGGAAGCCCCCACCTGCACATGGTGCTGCCAGTGACCATGCCAAGTGCCTGGGCAACCCCTCTGCTGGTGGCTGCAACACCAGTCCTGAAGGGAGCCAAGTTCTCCGAGTTCTGGGGGGTTGTGGAAGGGACGTGCTTCAGCGCTTTATAGCGTTTTCTCTATCTTTTTAAGGATTCAACGGGTCACACAGCACCCGATTCTTCGCGAGTTCCGCACGCTCGCTGCGACTGCTTAGCACCTTCTTAGCATCGGAAAAACACAACTGCAATTGAATGGTATAGTTTTCCTTTGCAGAGTGAGCTGGAGGTCGATTCCATCCGCTTTTCTTGCGCTGGCCGACTGGCTGGTTGGTTGGCTGGCTGCCACTCCTTTGGATCTACAGCTGCACGGTGTCAAAACATGACACGCCACAAAAACATCGAAAAACACTCAGAACAGTTTGGAGGCCATTCTTCTGGGTCATCTCTGCATGTCTCACCGTCTCAGCCTGTCACCTTCCTTCTTTCGCCTCCCTTCGGTGACTGGGTGTTTTTTTTAGCGGAGTCGGGTGCAAACAGGTTGGAGAACTGAACTGGGTGGGGCAGTTGGACCCGAGCTTCTGGCACATGTGTTGTGTGAAGCGCAGCTTCGCTGAGTGCCGAAGCGCCTGTAGCCGGGTGATGTGATCGATTCAAATCTGGCCAAGGTGATGTTTTCGTTCGTACGTTGTATCGCCCCTTTTTCTGTTCTGCTGCGTGAATCCATGAACAGCCTGCTCAAACAGCAACATGCCTGTTAGCAAAAGTTTTTTTGTTTTTTGTAGGCATGAGAAGAACCAATGCCATGCTTCTTATATATAGGTTTGCTACTAGGTTTGCTTTATTTGATCTGCTCCAATTTCTGGCTTGGAACCGGGTCCTTCTTGTTGCTGGACCAGCCATGGTACCAGTTGGAGAAGCCGGCTTGGCAGTCGTAGCTGTGGTACACATGGACCACCTGACATGGAAAACTGATCTTGTTTTGCAAGTCGCAATACCACCAGCATCCTTTAGATCAATAGTTGTTGGGACCCTGAGAGGTCGTGTTTTATTGTAGGTCACATCTCTCCAACCACGATCCGCCTTCTCCCAATGTCCGCAGCCGGAGTTGAAGTGGGAGCAGCACCAGGTCTGCTTGGAATGAGACCAAAGCTGCTGGAAGTTCTCAACGCCGTTCTGGCAATCATATTGCTGGTCCACCACCTTGGTGGAGGCATAGGTATGGACGATTGTGGTAAAGAGGACAACCAATAGATCGAAACTGGGAAAATGACAAAACTGTTGAAATCAGATGTGCCACAGTGTTCCACTGGGTGTGGTAGTGTGTGACCACATGAGGAGGCGATGGCACTGGCACCTTCACGTAGTGGTCAGGGCCCTGCACGTGCACGGGATAGGGTCGCTTCACGTTGATGACTTGAGGCGGCTCCGGCACGGGAACAGGGACGTTCTCGTTCATCACCACGGGCTTCACCACGGTAGGGCCTGTCGTTGAACAGGAAGATCATTTCAAGTTGAAGTCATTGAATATGCATAATCCAGGGGTCACAAAGGGGTGCTTAATGGAGGTTAGGGCCGGTTAGGGGTGCCCATTATCCACTCACTTGGGGACTAAACACCACCCCTTTGTGACCCCTGGATTCCAATAATTAACTACTTGAAGACCAAGATTTCGTGATGAAGCCCATGCAGAAAGATGCGTGTCTTTTGATCCAATTTTTGCTTTGACCCATGTCCTACATGTCCATGTCCTATAGACCCCTCTCCTGCCCAAACGGTCTGACCGGACCGGTCGATGGGGGTCCAGCAGTCGAAGGACTGCGTCCACACCGTCCCACGCATGGGAGTGTCATGGGAGTCATGCCGGCGTGCTGGGTTGTATATAGTCACAAGTGACGTGCTGAGTATATAGTTCTATCTGCAGCAGTCCAAACATGTCTAGTCTAGTACTTTGGACTATGATGACTATGTCTATATGTAGTAGTTTTTACTTAACTTGTTTCCATTGTCAACGGAGGTATTGGAACCCTGCTCGCATAAAGCGTTGCATTTCTTCAATCCTGTCTTGGCACTTTCTTGAATTCACTCCATCATTCGTCTTCGCCAGGCGCCTGGCACTTGAACGTGCACATACTGAGGTGGGCTGGGCACGTGGTAGGTATGGTGGATGGTGTGGATGATGGGCGCATGTGCTGGCATGGGCTCCGGCACCGGTACACGAACGGGCTGGATGTTGGTGACAGTGTGGTAGTAGTCCTGCATGATCTGGGCAGTAGTCGTCTGAAATGATGTGCACGCCGAGTCTGAAAAGAAATCCAACTGAGCAACTGCATGATTCACTGCTGGTGCTTCAGTCTTGCAATTATCGACTGGGAGACAGCCAGGACCTGGTTACCAGGTAATAATATGTATCCTAGAACCTATAGAAGATCTAGAAGAGCCAAGACAGGCCATCGACACGGCCTCAAACCTGCTCAAGACAGCGAGTCCTTGTCGACCACGGCCACAGGGCAGTACATCTTGTACCTTGGCTGCAAGCGAAACATCACAGTTCCTCGCTGTTGAGACTCCCAGGGCGGAACCTCCATCACCATGGTCACCGTGGTAGTATCCCTCAGCTCAGGCGGCACTCGCTCCAAGCTCCGAGGGTCGCCTTCGGACCAGCCACCCAACAGCCTACAGCCAACTCCTAACAAACGTCCACGTCCGATGATTTTAGGTATCCGTTCGTATCCTCCGGGGTGCTTGTAGCAGCACCAACGGGTGTGCTGGCTGGACCAGCTTGGATCTGGGTGGGATCCCATTCCGTCGCAGTTGTAGCTCTTCGCGGGAGTCTGAATCTGAACGGTGTGGACGATTGGGGCCTTCTCGGGCATCTGCACGTGGACGTAGTGGTTCACCTTACATGGAAAAATATGAAACATATAGGTCTGAAGCAAAAGCAAAGCTTGCAACCCACTATACAAACAAATCACTTCTACTAATACATATACATAGATGAGTGCGGATACACGTCCTGCTCATCAGTCTTGCAAGTCCATCAAACAAATGTTTGGGGATAATGAGGCACAAAAACATCATCACACACTCTATTTACAACTTTGAGAGTCTGATCTGTCCTTCCCTCTTGAACTTTGAAGGCTCAAAGAGATCCAGTTCCTTTGACATCTTCTTGAGTGCTGGGTGTAGTCAACAGAATCAGTGCTGGGACCTGTAGCCAACACCTCGGAACCTGGACTCGAAACTGGTCAAACCCTGCTGTCCAGGTGATGCGCCAATCGCGCCAATCGATGTGATGCAAGTGCTTGTTGGTAAAAGGATGGCCAACCGCCACCTAGGCATTTACGTGTCATTGCAAGCAATTATCCCAGCTTTGAATTCATTGAAACCACCCAGGTAACCACTAACACCATGCGATCAGTGTCCACCGTTCCATTTGGTCTGCTCAACACCATCCGATGACAAGCCCAGTCGCAGGAACTTTGTGATAGACGGTGTTGTAGTGGCGATGCACCACAGTGTGCACATGCGGGGGAGCAGGTCGAGTGTTGTCCGCGCCGCACTGGAGGTTCGTGAGGGCCAGCTGGCGGGGGCAAGAAGTACAGCAGAATCCCTGGTTCTCCACCAGCTGTGCCTCACAGGTTGATTTCCCTTCTTGCACCCTTCCAGAATCATTCCAAGTTTAAAGTTATTTCAAAGCAAACAGAGCAGGAAAAAGCATCTTTGGGGCTTGTGGAAGTCAGTACGGAAGGAATTGTTATTTACAGGTGTGTTTCAGGAACCACAGCACTTTTATAACTACATATACTGTTACACACACATATATATATATACATAGCAATATATCGTTAATATATGTATATATATATATATTAGTATAGTTTTATGTAATCTTACATCTTTCTCTCTCTCTCTCTATACACTGTATACACATGTAGGAATTTCTGTGCCCAGATACGCTCATCAAGGAGGCGCACTTGTCGCTGCACACCTGGGCCAGGCAGAACATAGCACAGAGCTGAGCGGAGCTGCTCCGACGCGGCGCCACGGAGACTCTGCAGAATGAACCGTTGGCATCTGAGACTCCACTCAGAAGACCTTCTTAAGAGAGTGCTTCTCCATATGGATGTGTAGCTCAAACAGCTAGGGAGACCGACTCCACTCAAGGCGTCGGCCTGGCGGAACTCGACTCCCTCCCCCTCTTCAGGACAAAAATCGACCCGTCTACCCAGCCGTACCCAGCCATTGGGCCTACACACCCAGATGAACCTGACAATTCTGCTGTCGTTTCCCTTGTCTTCTCGGTACCCGATCAACTGATCCTTTCCCGCTCCGAAGCTGACGTCGCTCATGGTCGCTCAGGTGAAGCGACGCTCATCTCGCTGCCAGGGGGGTCGTCCCGCCGTGGCAGGGTCGAAGTCTGTCTTGCTTTGTCAGTAACAAGAAGCTACTAGTAGCATCCTTGCTTCTAGTAGCGATGGCCAACCTACTTGCGATGGCCTCCACCTAATAGCATCCTTGCTACCAGTAGCGATGACTATGCAAGTGCTTTCTCACTAGAATCTTTGCAGTTCTCAGGTAAGACCAGACCGTTTGCATGACCTGCTCAGCTAGCTCAGCTAGTCAATCTTCCGCCCGCCATTTGATGTGGTCATATATACCCAGCCACTGTCCAGAATGCGCAACACACTTGAGCGATCTTCACACAGGTCCAAAACTGCATCATGAAGCTGGTTTTTATGTGAGTCTGAGCCTAATCTGTGCTGTGGCATCATCCGTTCTGATCTGCATCACGTCCACCCCTCCCCCACGCCATCTCCGCCGCAGGCGTGGCCTAGCGATCTCCTAGACACACCGCCCGGACCGGTCTGATGTGCTTTTCGTTTTGCCAGTGATATGATGTGCTATGGCTAAGGTGGCTAAGGTGGCTAAGTATCCTTCCAAATAGATAGAAAAGTAAATCCCAAAATGTATTGGAAACCGTTTCTATCTATTTGGGGGTCTTGAAAAGATCGATATCAATCGATATCAAACCCGTTCCGAACGTTCTCACGTCACTTCAGCTCCAAGTCACATCGGTATATCCCGCGCTGCATTGCTCGCTCGAGCCGAAGAAGACGCGCACGTCGCAGATGAAGAGCAATGGCAGCAGGATCACCAGCAAAGCCGTGATCCCAATGCAGAGCCTCGCAACGAGCCGTTGAGCGTGTGGGGGTAGGTGGAACCTAGGCTTGTACGTACAAGCCCCAGGGCTTGCACGACAACAAGGGGCCCCCCAAACACACAGCAAGGCTGTGCCACAGCGCTTCATGACTCATTGGTAGTGCCATTAGCTATCACTGAACAAAGCTGCCGCTGCGTCACGACTAATGCTACAGATCGATTGACAAATATATCACCTCCCCCAAAGGCAGAATCAACCATATTCCAGCATCAATATATTATGAATATATATGATTAAAAAGCAAACAAATGGTCAACCATCATGAACTGTCAATATGATTCAAATCAAAACATACTCAACCAGCCTTAAACATCATGAATCATCCACATGGAGACCTACCCTTCGACCGAGACTCAAGTCCAAAGGCCGGCATCGTGGCGCGGGCACCTTGGACTGCGACTCTCGAGTGCGGCGGTATTTATTTGGTACTAAACTCAAACACGCTATCTATTAGGGACGGGGCCCTATCTCGTTTAGACTACTGATTGCAGGAGGTCATGTCACAGTACCTCGTTCAGGCTACTTTAGTGTCATCAAGCAAAAGTATCTCAGTAATTATCTCGTTTATGTGGGGGCCTTATCTCGTTCAGATAGACGAGCAAATAGAGCATGCAGTAGACTACTTCAGTAAAGCCTAAATAAACGTGGTTGCTGGTATCATTTTGACATGCTGAACTAATATTTACACTTTTAATACTCGTTGCTACCGACTACTGAGGTTCACCCCCTCATTTTATCCAGCAATTGGTTATATAAGCTGGCCATACACCAAAGGTCTTTTTCTAAAAAGTGGAAAAAAAACTTTCTGTCGTGACTGGCTTATTTGACTGTGCAAAGAGTTCATCCGTGTCATCTATTTTATTTAAGACATTTTAAGCCCTATTTTAGATAGCCGGTAGCAACGGGGATCGCCTATAACATCTTCAGATTCTAATGGTTTTAGTAGTACAGTGTAGTTTGGTGTGCTTCAACAAGGCAAGGCCCACAACGTTTGGTACGCAAAACGAGTTCGAAGGTCTCAAACGTGGGTGAAAACGTGGGGAGGCTTCGTTGGCGAGGCTAGGGTGACTGCCTTCGAACGATGTATTGCCGGAACGACGTTTTCACTCACACCTGAGCCACAGGGTCGTCCATGTAAACTAGTGCAAACATGGTCTTGAAATGATGGAAACTGTGCAAACAAGACCATTCTGTTTGGGTTCGGGTCACTTTTGACAGCTCCGTTTGACAGCTCGAACATGTTTGTTTCTTGCTGTTGCCTCGACAATTCACCGAGGTTTACTGACACGGGTTCGACTCACGCTGACAACCGACATGTGAATTCAAACATATAATGTTAACATTGAATTGACCGTTGTTGAATAACTCATGTTTAACCTTCAGATGGTTTTTTCATTTGTGGGTAACTAGGGGCCTAGTAAGGTTCATGAAGAGATACAGTATTGAGACTCTGAAAAACATTGAAAAACCACGTCTTGGACGATCGCCTCGGCTCCTTCTCTGTCTCTCTCCCTCCCTCGCTTGCTCGCTCGGTCCCTCAGGACCCGCCGTGACGCCGGCGCACCTTGGAGTCCACCGTGACATAGCCGGCAGCCACCATGCTGCGCCGGGTGGAACGACGCGGAGAGGCCGGTGACGGTGCGGTGTCGTCCGCGGTGAAGCCAAAGGCTGCACCGGAGCGAGGCCGTGGGGGCCGGCTTCGATCGGCTGCACCCGGCCCGAGGCTTCTTACACAAGACGCGACCATGCCCAGGCATAGATGGATAATTAGAACCGGGTTCTTGACATGGCCAGAACACTGAAATGACTTTGACAACTGGTACTTATTCACGAGACGAGACCTACATTTGCACAGGAAACCAGTTTCATCATCTTTCATCCATCCCAATCCCATGCTCCAACTCTCAATTTCCGACACCCACGAGCGCGCACCGCACCACCGCAGGGCGCGCTCGTCATGGGTGTGTGTGTTCTTTTTTCCGTCCCGAACTCCGCTGAGCGCTCATCGTCTGCGGTTTCGCAGTGCAGGTTCTGCCAAGTTCTTGGCAAGATCCAAGCAATCCTAGCTAACGCTCTCCCTGAAGGGAGGGAGATGTCTAGTAAAAATGGCTGGAAGTGACCCAGAGAAACTGACCTCGCATTGAAAGAAGAGACGGGCACTCCCCTAGCTTCCTCTCTCTCTCTCTCTTTCTCTCTCTCTCTCTCTGAGAAATCTTCATCACCATGAGACCATGAGATAACATGTGACATGTATGATCATGTATGACAAACATGTTTTGCACAGCAGTGGCCACTGTTGTATCTGTGGTGTCTTGGCAAGGAAGAGATACCGCAATCTCTGGTAGTTGCAAGGTCAGCGTGGGTACTCAAGTCGGCTCACTAGGTCAGCTTTTGAATGAAGGTGCAGTGAATTGACCCATGCTGGGAACACGAGGTTTCAATCTCACTTGCTCTAGTCTCTCCAAAGCTGCCAAGGAGGCTTAAGCAATCCTAAGCATGCCCAGGTTTGGGCTGAAAGTTTTCTCAGTGGACCACATGGTGGACCACGTGGTGGTGGTAGCTGGCACCTGAGGACCAGCTGTGGCTACCACCGGAGGACCAGCTGTGGCCGGACATGGCCCCAGCAGCTCCGGCAGCGCCAGCAGCCGCCCCAGCAGCCCCGGCTCCGGCGACGAA